CGACCTCCCTGGCAGAAGTGATCCTCCCACCTCAGCCTCCCAAGTAGCTGGAGCTACAGGTGTGGGCCACCACACTTGGCTAATTAAAAATTTTTTTTTGCCGGGCGCTGTGGCTCAAGCACTTTGGGAGGCCGAGGTGGGTGGATCACAAGGTCGAGAGATCGAGACCAACCTGGTCAACATGGTGAAACCCCATCTCTACTAAAAATACAAAAAATTAGCTGGGCATGGTGGCACGTGCCTGTAATCCCAGCTACTCAGGAGGCTGAGGCAGGAGAATTGCCTGAACCCAGGAGGCAGAGGTTGCAGTGAGCCGAGATCGTGCCATTGCACTCCAGCCTGGGTAACAAGAGCAAAACTCCGTCTCAAAAAAAAAAAAAAAAAAAAATTTTTTTTGTAGAGATGGGGTCTCACTATGTTGCCCAGACTAATCTTAAATTCTTGGGCTCAAGTGATTCTTCCACCTCAGCCTCCCAAAGCCCTGGGCTGACAGGTGTGAGCCACGGTACCCAGCCTAATATATCTTTTTTAAAAATTGTAGCATTTAGGCCAGGCGTGGTGGCTCACGCCTGTAATCCTAGCACTTTGGGAGGCCGAGGCAGGTGGATCACCTAAGGTCAGGAGTTCAAGACCAGCCTGACCAACATGGAGAAACCCCATCTCTACTTAAAAACAAAGCAAAACAAAATTCGCCAGGCATGGATGCACACCTGTAATCCCAGCTACTCTGGAGGCTGAGGCAGGAGAATTGCTTGAACCCAGAAGGCAGAGGTTCAAGGCAGAGATGGTGAGCCAAGATTGCACATCCTCATTGTAAATAGTCGAGAACACTTGGGGAGGAGTGTGAAGCTGTGGGTGACGGCTTGTCTACAGACATGCCACGTGGCCCACAAGGACCTGTCTATGCTGGTCACTGCCCCTCCTGCACTGCAGTGTTCTTCTACCACACCAGCTCAGTGGCTTCTCCAAAAGAGGCCAAGGGCAGGGCTAGTAAGGCCGTGTACTTACTTCTTTATACTTCCAGAGCCCTGAGCACAGGGCTGTGCACACAGCAGGCCAGCCCACCCCAAACGCTTGTGGGGCCTAGGACAAGAGTACCCATGGAGGGCCACCTACTATGTGGTTCCATATTTAAATGCTGCAAATCAAGCTAACAAACTATTAAAGAGAATGTGTCCTATCCTCCTACTTTGACAAACAAACCTTTATAAAGGCTCAGCAGCCTGGAATAGGAGGTGCGAGGAGAACAGGCTTTCCCACCGTAGCCCACCCGCTGTCTCCCCATCCAGGCTGCATCCCTCACTTCAAGGGCCTTGTGCATGTGCAGGTGGACATGGCAGCCTGCTCATCATGCTCAACTATTCCTCCTGCAAGAGCTCTGGCCCCCTTGGGAGGGAGGATCTAAAGAAGGGGCCCTCCAAACCCTGGAAGCTGGCTCAGGGCTGTTTGGGGTATGAATTCCAGGATTCTGGATATCTGGAACATGGTGTAAAAAATGGGCTCTGTGGCCAGGAGTGGTGGCTCACGCCTGTAATCCCAACACTTTAGGAGGCCGAGGCAGGTGGATCACAAGGTCAGGAGATCAAGACCATCCTGGTCAATATGGTGAAATCCCATCTCTACTAAAAAAAATACAAAACATTAGCTGGGCATGGTGGCGCATGCCTGTAATCCCAGCTACTCAGGAGGCTGAGGCAGGAGAATTGCCCGAACCCAGGAGGCGGAGGTTGCGGTGAGCCGAGATTGCGCCATTGCACTCCAGCCTAGGTAACAAGAGCGAAACTCCGTCTCAAAAAAAAAAAAAAGATGCCCTCTGAGTGAATGCATCCGTTTTCCTTGTGTCCCTCCCTCTGTGGGTGGGGTGTGGTCTGGGGGAGGGCTCCAGTAGAGGCCTCTGAAGGCTTGCTTCTCAAAGTGTGGTCCTTGGACCACCAGCGTGGGCACGAACTGGGAGTTAAAACTACAGACTCTCAGCCTCACTCACGCCATGCCTTCTGAACCAGAATCTGCATTTCAACAAGATCCCCAGGCAATTCATGTGCACATCAAGGTCTGAAAAACATTGCTTGAAAGCACAGAAGCAAGGACTAGGGTCCCTCTCACCTAGATCTGGGTATGGTACTGACTGTAGGTATCAGTAAATATTTGCTCAACAAATGGCAAATAGCCCCCACAACAGACCTGATAGCCAGGGAGGAGCTGGGGAATGGCTGCCTGACTCACAAGCGTTTCATTTCCTTTCTCTGAAGCCTCCGTGGGCACGTGTCAGCTATACCCCCTGCTTCTGGCCTGTGTTGACTGGCCCAGTAGTAGACACCTGACGCACACTGGGCGAATCGGATGATCTCTCCCAGGAATTTGGAGACAAGAAAATGGACTCTAGAGTAATAGCAGTGGAGACAATGAACATCTTCCTGCACCCACCGTGTGCCAAGCACTGTGCTGAGTGTTTTACATCTTAGACTCGATCTTTGCAACCACCTCGCCAAGCCGGTGATTGTACTCTGTGTGTGTTTCCGATGAGGAGCTAAGGTGTGTGCCCAAAGGTTAACTTTCCTTTTCCAAAGGTTCAGGGTGGGGAAGTGGCAGCATGAGGCAAGCTGGAGTGACTGTGCAGCTGAGACTGGGCCACGTGATGCAGAGACGGGGTCTGTCCACTTTGGCGATCCAGGTCCCCAGGAATTGCCTGGCTTTGTGATAACTGTGCCAACGTCATGGGAAATGGTCCATGCACGGTGGTGGGTAAGACCTGGCTCTGGGGGATGGCCACAGTGGGGAGGGTGGCATGGGGGCCCAGTGAAGGGTAGGAGCCATGAGAGGGAGGCAGAGAAAATTCTCCTTCCCGAGGGAGGACAGAGCACTGATCAAGACCAGACGGGCCCACCTACATCTCAGTACACACCAGAGAGCACCCACTGTAGGGTCCCTCAGAGATCAGCTCCTCACGCCTCCCCGTCTAGTGAGTTAGCAGCAAGCTTGCCAGAGAAAACAGGTGGGCAGCTTATTTTGGAGGTATGGGGCAGGGGGCAGCAGAGAATTTGGCACCCTCCTCTGCACCCATCCCCAGAGGGACAGACACCTCAGAGACAGATGGGATGGAGGCAGCTGGAATGTGCCAGGACAGCTAAGACCCTGCAAGGGCCAGAGAACCAGTCCAGGCTGAGGAAGGGCACTGGGAGCCTCACTGACTGGAGGACGAGAGGGGTCCCTGGCTGGCTCTTGGAGAATAGAATCTGCCTTTCTGGGTGGAGCAGGTAGGTCTTTGAGAACCTAACAAAACAAAACAAATCAGCAGCAGGATGTTTCTATCAGGCTCCAAGCCTCTGCATGTGGAGGGCTGTTTGGCTTTATTTTAGAAACAAACCAGCATCTTTCGTTAGCACTGACCCAGCAGTGGCCCCCGACTGCCACCTGACAATCCAACGTTACTTACAGAGCACTCAAGCAGGCCACACCTTCAACGGCTCACGGCAGGCTAGCCTAGAGTAGCGACCAGAAAGACGCTTTTCACCGCCCAAATCTCCCTTTTGAAAAAAACCAAGCAATCATCAGGTGGGAGAATCAATTGCTGGCTCCCTGCAGCAAGAGGGGTCAAAGCTGGCAGAGGGCCAGATGCTTGTGCCCCTCCCGGGGGGGGTGAAGATGACTGGGGCTCCCTGGGACTGCATGGCTACAGCCAGGACGCTGCCAGGGCCTCCTCTGCTGCTGAGACATGGAAGGGATCCTTCCCGACGCCCACAGGCGGGGGCGAGCCACCAGGAACCGGGCCTGTCATCAGCATCCCTGAGCCCCCGCAGACCGGAATGCAAATAGCTCCGGGCCCACGCCGCTCCCAGTCTGCTGACGAGGGCTGCTTGCTCCCATTTCTTCTCTTCCTTTTTTTTTTTTTTTTTTTTTTTTTAAGGGCTGGCAGTTCTGGAAACTTTTTCTGGCTTCTCAGGCAACTGTGGCAAAATGGAGTAGAGACAGGCCCTGTCCAGGCTCTTTCTGTTGCCTCGCGCAGGCGCGGGATCGGGGAGCGGGTGGTCCCCAGGCCCAGGAGGGGCCTCTGGAGTGAGTGGTCCCGGGCCCGGCAGGTTGCAGGGCTGGGTGCGGAGACAGACGGAGCTCGGCCCCGTTCGGAACCCAGGCCGGGGGCTCCTCTGACAAGAAGAAAGGCGTCTCCCCACGCCCAGCCCTTCAGAGGGCGTCAGGATTCCTTCGGGCTGGGGCGGCGGCTGCTGCCAGGCTTGGGACGTGGGTGCGGGCGGTGGGCACCCATGGAGGTAGGGGAGCCGGGAGCCTGAGGCTGAGCCTAAGAGGAGACTCAGGAGGGGGTTCCGCGGGCGCAGCTGGGCCGGGATGGCGCCGGCGCGGCCACCGCGGGGACCCGGCAGGGCACACAGAGATGCCCCGGGGCCTGCCTCCCTCCCAGCGCACCGGAGGTCGGAGGGACTGGAGCTCCCGCCGCGCACAAGGTCCCACTGGAGAAGGCTTTTCCCCGAGGAGCTGGACGGGGGTCCCTGGTGGGTTTCTCCCAGCCGCCCTGGTCCAGCCTCCCTCTCTCCGTCCCTCCCCCGCCAGCAGGGGCCGCTGTCCCACGGGCTGGGTCCCGATGGCGCCCGCGGCCGGGCCTCCTCGGAGGGCCTGGCTGCAGCCTCAGGGTGTAGGTGCCTCAGTGGCCACCGCGTCCCCAGGAGGCCTCGCGCACGGGGGCGCAGGGTTGCGGGGAGGAGGCTGGCGGGCCCCTCGGGCGGCGGGAAGCCCGGGCTCAGCGGTTTCCTGGGCAACCAGCCTCCTCCGGCGCGGCCCAGGCGGCTCCAGCTGGCGGGAGGCGGCGGTTGGCGGGAAGGGCCGCGCGGGCACGGGGGCGGCGCCTCAGGTAGCAGCGCCAGGTGGCGCCCGGGGGCGGCGGGGCTCCCGGGGAGGCGCCTGTTCCCGCCCGCGCCGGGCCGGGCCTTTCCGAGCTTCCTTCTGGATTCCAGCGCGAAGCAGCCGCGGAAACTCCCCAGGCGGGAATCGCGGCTCCGGGAGTTCTGGGGCGCGGCGGGTCTCGGAGGGCGCGGGCTCTGGCGGGGCGACCGAGCCTCAGAGGGCGCGCGCGAGCAGGCGGGCGGCGAGGACGGGCCACAGCGGCGGGAGCAGCGGTGCCCCGGAGGCCGAGGCCGCTGGGGACGAACGCGGGAGGTCAGGCCGCGAAGCCCGGGCCGCGGCGGCCGCCTGAGGCACCGACCCTGGCGCGGCGCGGGGATCTCTCTGCACCGACCTCGCCCCAGCCTCCCACTTTTCTATTCGGTTGCGATGCTTCTTTCCCTCGCTGCCGTTATATTCGTTCCTTCCAGAATTACAGCACATGCAGATGTCTCCCTGGCCCCAGATCCTCCCTGCGCCGCGGCTTTGAGCGTTTACACTCATCGCCCACGTCTGTCTGCAGACTCGGCCGGGCTCCTGCCCTCCTGGACTGCAGCGTCCCGGGACACCCCACCTGGCCTCCACCCGGCTCCCCGGACCCGCAGCATCCCCACCCCCCAACTCCCTCTAGGTGCTGGGGTGAAGGGGTCTGAATGGCACCAGGGAGGCGGCAGGGCGGGCCTGTCCTACCTGCGCCCGAGCACTGCTGCGACAGCATCCCTTCCAGGGCCGCCACGTAGTCCAGCCCCAGCCAGTCGCGGTAGGTGGTTTTCTCCCCGACAGGCACCGCCCGGACTGTGGCATCCTTGAAAAGCAGGTCTTGGCCATGATAGTTGGAGGAGTCGAACATTTTGAACCCATTCTTATTGTAGTCGTCTCCGAACAGATCCTGGAAGCACCGCAAGCAGCCCTGCTTCTCACCTGGGCTCACACAGGGTCACCCGCCCAGGTGCCGCTTGCTGCAAATTGCTTTACATACAGTGACCCAAAGAGCAAGTCACTGCGGTGCCCCACGACTCCGACTGCAAGTTGTAAGCTTGACAACTGATCCGCCTCTGTCACCCAAGGGGATGTGGGGACACAGGTGCCACTGGAAGAGGGATTCAGAAGCACTGCAGTGCTCCAGCTCCTGGATGCGGGACTGAGGCCTGAGACGTCCAGGAAGAAAGACCCAGAAATGAGGGATGGTGTGGGTGGGATTCCTGAGTGTTCTGCTAGGCCTGCTCAGCATTTCTTGGCCTTTTCCATAAGACTCTCTCACTCTAGCTTACAGATTTCCTTCCCTCAAACCTAAACAATTTCGAGAGAGACTTGTGTTCTGCAACCAGTCGTAGAATAACAGGTGAGCTGGGCGCGTCTTCACTGAGCCTCCACCCAGGGTTGCTGCATTCTTCTCCTTCCTGCTCAGAATCACTGGAATGACCGTTCTGCAGCTACAGCTCTAAAAGAGCTACTAAAGTCCGAGTGCCGTGACTCACGCCTGTAGTCTCAGCACTTTGGGAGGCAGAGGAGGGCAGATCATGAGGTCACGAATTTGAGACTAGCCTGACCAACATGGTGAAACCCCATCTCTACTAAAAATACAAAAATTAGCCAGGCGTGGTGGCACATACTTGTAATTCCAGCTACTCAGGAGGCTGAGGCAGGAGAATCGCTTGAACCCAGGAGGCGGAGGTTGCAGGGAGCCAAGATCGCACCACTGCACTCCAGCCTGGGAAACAGAGCAAGACTCCATCTCAAAAAAAAAAAAAAAAAAAAAAAGAAGAAGAAAAGAAAAAGAAAAAGAAAAAGAAAAAGCTACTAAAAAGACCAGAAGTAGTACGGGAACTTATGAATACAAATATAAATACAGGACTTCTGGAGAACATATATGAACGTCTACATCAAGTGTTAAGTACTGATCAAGGAGGAACAAAGGAATCAAGTTGTCCTCAGCCTTTTTGGAGGGGACTCGCAGATCCTCCTGAAGATCTGATGAAAGCTGTCAGCCTTCTCCCCAGAAAAATGCATATCCACCCAGGATTCTTCTTCCACACTACTTCAGAGGACCTAGCAACCCTTTAGGGAAGCCCAGGGACCCAGAGTAAAGCACTCCTGGGATAGAGGGGTTCTGTGGGGAAGGTGAGAGGAACATGCATAATTTCAAAATGTTAAAGTTTAGGAACAGGCCTGACGAGCCAGCCAGCTCTGCAGTTCCGTGCTGTTGGTGGGTATGGAGAAGGCAAGTTCAGCTCAAGTCAGCTGGGCGAGGGGGAGTGGTTAGAAACCAGTGGCTCCATTGTCAGACAACCCAGGTTTAAATTCTAGGTGTATTTTGAAGGCACAGCCAATGGGATTTGCTGATGGATTGGATATAGAACATGAGAGGAAGACTGGAGTCAAAAATGACTCCTGAGGAAATGGAAAGGCTAAAGTTGCTCTTAATTAAAGAGGGGAAGACTGAAGGAGGAATGGGAGTCCAACTCTGGACTTGATCCATTTGAGATGCCTGTTAGAATCACAAGTAGAAATGTCAGGTATGTAGTTAAATATGCGTTTGGGGCTGAGGTCTGGACTAAACATGTAAACTTAGAAGCCATCTGTATATAGATGGGATTGGATGACATGGGATTGGATGAGATCAAGGGTCAGGTGGAGAGAGAGAGAAGAGGGAGAACTGAGAACTGAATCCTAGGGCTAACAGGTCAGGGAGATGAGGAGGAATCAGCAAAGAAGACTGAGGAGTAGCGAGAGGTGAGAGGAGAGCCAGGCAGGGCTGGGGACCTGGGAGCCTGCCAGGGAAGCTGTTTACCGGAGGAGGTAGAGCTGTGGCCAGTGCTGCTGAGAGGTCAAGTAAAATGAAGACTGAGAAATGGCCACTGGTTTTAGCAACATGGGTCACTGTGACCTTGACAAGAACAGCTTCAGGGCCCTATTGGGAACCTGTCTGCAGTAGTCTCCATCCTTAAGAGAGACCAGAGGAGAGGACTCCAGAGACCACTCTTTGGAGGAGTTTTGCTTTGAAAGGGAGCAGGATTACAGCTGCAAGAGGACGGATGTGAGAGCGCTTAGTTTGTCCTTTAAGGATGGCAGAAATAACAGCTTGTTTCGTGTTGGCGAAAATGGTCCATCTGAGAAGGGAAAATCAGTGAGGCAGGAGACGGGATAGTTTCCAAAGGGATGTCCTTGGGTAAGTGAAAATCACAGAATTTTCCCCATGCTTCCTCGGTTTCTCTAGAGGTCTGTTCCAGGTAGACTGAGGCCTCCCAGGGGCTTAGCTTACCCCTGCTGCATACCCATCAGTGAGGCAGCCCCACCCTGGCTCACCTGGGCCTTGTCCAGCAGTCCATACACAGTGAAGATGTTGGTGTCTGGCCGGACCATGACAGCATGGGGTGGTATCTGTGCCAGGTTGCAGGCTACAAACTGGGACACCTCTGCCCGGGCCCCATTGGGGCACAGCAGTTCATAGTCCTCTGATCTGAGCTCAGCAGCCCAGGGCTCGGAATTGTGGCCTGGGGAGGTAAAACAGTGTATAGGGAGATGTTCAGGGGAGTGGGGAGAAGTGTAAAGAGAGGCTGCTATCCTGGGTCCCCTGACCTCTGGTCAGCACCCAACCCTCTCTGTTCTCCACGTGCTCTGCTATATTGCCAGGGTGAGAGAACCCAGCTGTGTTAATGCCATTAGCAGGAGCTGCCATTAGCAGGGAGGAGGGAGGACCCACTATGTGACCAGCACTTTACAAGCATTGCTTGATCCTCACAACAGTAATGCTGGACAGGTGTTGTTGTCCCCATTTTACAGGTGAGGAAACTGAGGCTGTTAGTCACTCCCAGGCAAAGAACCCCATCTATATGTTACATCCTCAAGCCTGAGGGCAGGGTGGCTCCCTAAAGGTGGTGGGTGATTGCCCCTGAAGGCTGAAGTTCTCAAATGGAACAGGGTGTAGCATCACTTGTGGATGTAAAAGGCAGCTTCAGTGGCCCTTGCTTGCAAAGAATCTGCAAAGGTCTCAGATGGGGCTCAGAAATTTGCATGTTAAAACAGCATCCCAGTGATTCTAAAGCAGGCGGTCCCAGGGCTTCCTGAGAAAATGCTGCCTTTAGAATCACATTTTTGTGTCTCTGAACATTAACTTAGTGTCCATCCTCTTCCCATTTCCAGGAAATCCAGGTGGGCCTCAAGGAGAGCTAAAGATAAAAGGGAAAAGAGTGGGAGGTCCTGGGGGGTGGGTGACTCACTGCAAGGGAATCTTCCAAAGCCTCCCGAGCACCTGCCCTCCTCCCCTGACCCCATCGCAGACCACACCGTGCACAGGTCTGGGACCAGGCATGCCCACCGGGCTCATGCAGGAGCACACAGCTCCCTCCTCCTGGGGGCGGATTCAGGTGTTCTTGGTGGGAGGCCGGGCAGGGAAGCTGGGCTGTGGCAACAGGAAGAGTTCAGGGCCTGGAGCCCTCCCTTTGATCTGCTGGGGCAAATGGTTCTACCGCCTTGATGACTTCCACAGGAGGCAAGATCCAAGTGTTGAAATACTGATGTTTTTTGAATTTTTTTTTCCCCTGCAAGTCTTGCTTCCCGTTGTCCAATCCCCTCCCCACCAGGCTACAGCTGTGCCTTTCTGGGCTGTTTCCAGAAGGAGATGTGTTGGGAGCGAGTGGAGAAGACTGAGCCTCCAGCCTTGGTGGTTTCAAAGCCTGGGGTGTAGGCAGAGTATGCAGAAAGTACAAGCCTTTGGTGTTGGAGGAAAATAGCCTCTAATCTTCAAAACGGACACAGATTCCTTCATGGAGAACAAGAATACGGGGAAGTGATGCTACGTTAGGACCATGTGCTACGATGGGTCTGTGTATGTATGGGGGTCCCGGAGCAGAGCATTCCTGAGCTGTTTATCCCAGGTGGAGCCTGGGAAGGTGACTCCAGGAAGAAACCCGCCTGTGTGATGTTTCAGGTGTGCTCTGCCTCAGTGTGGCCTGGGGACTGCAGAGAGATTTCCTTGCATGAGGCAGTGATGTGCTCAGGAACACAGACCAGATACTGACTGAACTCATGACCTTGTGGAGAGGCTCATGCCACCCCCACCTCACACCTTGGCACTACATAAATACCCTCAGAAGGGGGTCTTTCCAAATAGACTGGGATTGAGTTTCTACCATTTCAGGGGATTAGGGACTTGAATTCCAGACCAGTGAAGACCAGTGAAGACCGTCATGTGTCCAGCACCCCTGGATGTGTGGTCTGAGGTCTGTTCTTACCCTGTGGGGCTCCCAGCTTCCCAGGGGGCTCAGTCTAGACTCAGTCTCTGAGCTGCTGCCTGGTCCAAACCCAGCACACCTGGTGTCTGGATTGTGCTGAGGATGGGGACAGTCCCCTGGACCTACCTTTAGTTCTGCTCTGGCCCTCACCTACCATTTGTGTTGTCAAAGACAGTCGTGTGCCTGACGAAGGCAACGTCACCGGCATTCTCCACCAGGCACCTGCCACACAGAGGGCAGGGCAGGTGTTGGCAGGAGGGTCCCAACCTCTGCACATAGCCCCAGACCACCAGGCCACCCTAGTACCTGAAGGCGCCGCTGTAGCCGTAGTATCGCTCCTGGCTGTTGCCCACACATTTGTTGAGGCCCTGCTCGTCCCCCACGCAAAGTGCACACAGTGAGGAAGGGTAATTCTTGGGGTTGTTCACGGGCACGCAGCTGGCATTGAAGAACTCGCTCACCGCTGGGGTGGAGAGGAAGGGCAATGATGAGGGGCCAGCAGTGGAAAGTGTGGCAGGGAGATAGATGGCCACTCCCCCACAGATCTGCCCACTCGCCTGGGCCTATGCTGCAAGGCCACCTGTCTGCTCTGCTCCCCTCTTAGCTCTGAGTGGAGTGTCTCCTCCTGGAAGATCTCATCAAGGGGAAAATGTAGAGGTTGTCTAGATAGAGGAACCCCATCACCAAACATCACCACCCAGCCTTCACGTGAACTCCCTCAGGGACAGGAAACTCACTACCTCACTATTTTGTTCCAATCAGAGCAACTGTCCAGCTGTCTGGGAGTGGGAGCCGCCAACCCTCGTGCCCTCTGTGTGCTTGTGTCAGTGGTTAGAAAAAAACTGCTGGTGTGTTTTCTGAGTTAACAGCCAGGACAGAGGTGCGTGCCCGTCAGCCCAAGGATCTTGCCAGTTTCCATGGGTGTTGTGTGATTTAATACATGGGAAGGGCTTCATGTACAGCATATGGTGGGGGCTTCTGTCCCCACCTTGCCAAGACACCTGGGCCCTTATGCAGATGCCTGGCCACCTTCCAACAAGGTCCCCTCCTCAAGTAGTTGCCGGTCCCTAGCCAATCCCAGAGAAGGCTTCCCAGTCTGCGTTCCTCAAAGGGGGGTACCTGTGAGGACATCGCAGTCCTTGGGCCTGATGAAGCCTCTCCGAATGAGGATGCCCATGGGGATGTCCCAGCCCGCAGGGCTGCCGAAGCCGGCGTGGCAGGAGCGCTTGCCTCGAAGCTCATCTAAGGTGAAGGCATGGGAGCTGTCCCGCTTCACCACAGCCACCACGAAGTATGAATTGCTCTTGTCTTCCGCTGGGGAGAGAGGGACTCACATGAGGGGCCCCTCATCTGACAGCCCTGGCAAGTGCCTGGGGGGGTCCTTCCTTTAAACCCTCTCCTTCCTGGCTCTTTGCCTGAGCTGTGCAGGCCAGAGTGCCCAGACCTGGCGCTGGGGTGCTCCAGGAGCAGGCCCAGTAGGGCCCTTGCCTGCATCCCCTTGTGAGAAGCAGCCTCCCGGCTCCACTTTTCAGCTTTGTCCTCCTCAGGTCCCCGGCAGTCCTTACTCACAGGGACTTCTTTCTTTCCTTATACCAAGTGGTATTTTTATCACTGCCCGGGAGGAAAGACGAGGCTGCAGAAGCATTTTCCCACAGCCCAGAGATTCCTCACACCCAAGTGGAAGGGACCCAGGCCTCTGAGGTCACCAGTAAGAAGACAGAGGCCAAAGCCCCAGCCCAGGCCCCTGAGAAGGTGCGAATGAGCTGAGGGACTCTCAAGGGCTGCCTCTCATGGCTGGTTAGGGCCAGAAAAGGCTGAGGAACCCCAGTAGTCCAAGATGGTAAACCACAAGGCCTTCTTTTGTATGGCCTGGATTGTAAGCTAAGAATGATTTTATATTTTGAAAGGGTTATTTAAAGAGAAACTGTCATCTGCAAAGCTTCAAGTATCTATCCTCTGATCCTTTACAGAAAGTTTGCCAACCCCTTAGAGACGTTTGTTGAATAGTTGGGGAAACTGAGGCCTGGGGCAGGAGGGGCAGGCCTGGTGACAGACAGCTTCTATCCCCAGGAGAGGGGCATGGAGCTTTTGAAAATGACTGAGGAGGACACATTTTTATATTTATAAAAATATCCCCACCTCCCTGCTGAGGCCAGGCAGCAGGCCCTGCACTCACCGGCATAGCGCTCCCCGGCTGCAGGAACCAGGCCATATGTCTTCCCGGCCGTGTAAATGTCCTCGCTACTCAGCGTCACAGCGTCGATGTGCCCAGCCTGAAGGGAACAGAAGAAGCAACTGGGCGGGGGTGGGCCCTGGATGGTTCTGGATGTTGGGGTCCTCTGGAGGTGGCAGGGCCTGGCCTCTCGGGGTTTGTGGCCCCGGGCTTCCTTCCCCTGGGGAACCTGGGTAGGAAATACCCCATCCTGGTGATCTGCCCCTTCCTCTCATTGTGAAGTTGCCTGGCCAGGAGGGGTGCCTCACGAAGCACTCCTGTGTGTGGCTACCCAGGGTCCCCTGTGTCCCTGCTCTGAGCAAAGCAAGCCGATCCCTCTCCTCATGCTCAATGGGCTGTGCACTGCCAGCCCCCAGACAGCCAGGCACCGCATCTCCAGCACCTGGCCAAGGGCCGCACACCTTGTGGTGCAGTGCCTGTCTGCTAAACGCGTGTACAGATGGAAGAATGACCCAGATCTGAAAAGATGGCAGTCTCAGGGCCTGGGAGGAGGCTCCAGGGTTGAGGGATAGAGCTCTGCCTACAGAGGCAGCAGGAGGCACCCAGGACCTTCTTCCCAGGAGCCTCCTGGGGCCCTCCAGGTCACCTGCACCCACCCCACTTGTCCATTCTGAAGCCCCAGGACCCCACCAAGGTGCTAACTGGTAATGAAGCCATAGTAGTGTGATTAACCTCAAGGGAAGGGGGTGACAATGGGGCAGAGTGGGGAACATCTGTGGCCCAGGAGGGTGTCCCACACCTGAAGAGGCGTGAAGTGATGGTGATGGAATAACAGGCAGCGGTGCTGGTATTTAGGGCCAGGAGGGTGCACCTCTAAGGGCCCTTTTCCCACCACCCAAACCTCCTCCTACTGTGCTGTCGGGCAGGACACAGACCCTACACCGCAGCCCAGGGCCCACTGGCTGACGGTCCCTTCCCTGGGTAACTGGCAGGGCAGGAGTGGGTGTAGAGCCACACTGGACACCTCTCTGAGAACCTTAGCAGCTGGAACTGAGGGTCTTTGAGCCCTCTGCTGGGGTTCTGAGGAGCCCCTGAAGTCTCCTCTTCCCAGAGGCCCCTGGGCAGCTCCCAGCCCTCTGTGAACTCAGACTGAGAGGAGGCTGTCACTTAGAGGGGCTGAAAGCTCCCTCCCTGCACCTCTTCCTGCTCTAGGGCTCTTGGAACAAGGCAGCCTGCTTGGCACTGGAAAATAAAGACCCCCCCACCAAGCCCTTTCCTCAGTGCCAGCAGAGGCTTCTCTGTCCACATCACACACTCTTAGGCTCAGCTCTGCACAAGGACAGGCTTCCATCGGCCCCTGGGGAAGCTCCTGCAACACCCCCACCTCAGGCCTGGGCACTCCTTGGCATGAGGCTGGGGTATTCTCCACTCCCAAGATCCGGAAGTGTGGAGGCAGGGCTGTGGCCTGGCTCAGGCCAAGTGGTGGGGGGAAGCCCATTCAGTACATCCTGGCTGGTGGCCGTGGGAAAGTTACTTTCCCAGCCTCTGTCTCCCCAGTTCCAGATCCAAAAGCGGGGCTGTTGTGAGGATTACATGAGATGACCCACGCAGTGGCCTTCACTGCGTGGGGCACACAGAAGTGTCAGCTTGTGCGATGGTCATTATCATATTGTCATAGGCCTGGTCACCCTGTATTCCTGCCTGGTCTCCTCTCTGTGGCCTTCCAGTCAGTGTGGTTCCCTGACCTGGGCAAGGTTGGCACCGCTGAGGGGCTATAGCCTGTGCTTGGGGACCCCCTGAACAGGCCCCACCTACTTGCTCTGAAAACAGAAACTAGGGGGTGTGGGCAACCAGGGGCTGAAAGCTAGGGCTCTGGCCCGAGGCGGGACATCGTGACCACAGCAGTCCTCCTCCCTGACTACAGGGCCTCTGGGGCCTCCTCTGCATCTGGCCTGAGTCTCCAGGCAGAGAAGCAAATGAGGAAAGAGCTGAACGGGCACTAGAGATCAGGCCAGTGTTTCTAGCTGCAGATGGTGAGCTATTCATGGGGGCCAAATCAATTTCATGGGTCATGACAAGTGTCAGGAACAAAAAGGATTAGAATAGAATACAATAGAAAATAGCGGGTACTGTTTGTGTTCTATCTCTGTATATACCGGATATACATTTTTTCATTTATTTATATCCGAAAGAAAAGTTTATCTGGGAGCAGTGGTCCGTGCTTGTAATTCTGGCACTTTGGGAGGCCGAGGCAGGTGGATCACCTGGGTCAGGAGATCAAGACCAGCCTGGCTAACATGGTGAAAACCTGTTTCTACTAAAAAAAAAAAAAAAAAAAATTAGGCCGGGCGAGGTGGCTCAAGCCTGTAATCCCAGCACTTTGGGAGGCCGAGGCAGGTGGATCACGAGATCGAGAGATCGAGACCATCCTGGTCAACATGGTGAAACCCTGTGTCTACCAAAAATACAAAAAATTAGCTGGGCATGGTGGCACGTGCCTGTAATCCCAGCTACTCGGGGGTCTGAGGCAGGAGAATTGCCTGAACCCAGGAGGCGGAGGTTGCAGTGAGCCGAGATCATGCCATTGCACTCCAGCCTGGGTAATGAGAGCGAAACTCTGTCTCAAAAAATAAACATAAAAATAAAAAATAAAAAAAATTAGCCAGGTGTGGTAGCATGTGCCTGTAATCCCAGCTACTCAGGAGGCTGAGGCAGGAGAATTGCTTGAACCCGGGAGGCAGAGGTTGCAGTGATCCAAGATCGCATCATTGCACTCCAGCTTGGGCAACAAGAACAAAACTCCATCTCAAAACAAACAAAAAAAGTTTTTGTGTACTAGATTGTGATTGGTATCAAATATATTTCCGAGTGCATGGTGTTGTCAAAAATGTTGAACTTCCCTATGAAAATACCAATGACATTCTTTACAGAATTAGCAAAAACAATCCTAAATTTTGTATGGAACCACAAAAGACCCTGAATAACTAAAGCAATCCTAAGCAAAAAGAACAAAGATAGAGGCATAGAAACTGACACACAGCCCAATGATACAGAATAGAAAACCCAGAAATTAACCAACGTTTTTACAGTCAGCTAATTTTTGACAAAGTTTCCAAGAACACTCATTGGAAAGAGTGATCTCTTCTTCAAGGGATGCTGCTGGGAAGGCTGGATGTCCAAGGGCCGAATGAACTGGGCCGCCATCCCTCACCCTACACAGGGATCAACTCAAAATGGATCAGGGCCCTAAATGTAGGGCCCAAGACAATAAAACTGTTGAAGAGAATATAGGCAAAACACTTCAGGACATTGGTCTGGGAAAAGATTTTATGAAAAGACCTTGAAGGCACAGGCAAGAAAAGCAATAATAAGCAAATGGAATTATATAAAACAGAAAAGTTTCTGCACAGCAAAGAAAACAATAGACAGAGTGAAATGACAACAGCCTCTGGGGGGAATGAGAAAAAATATTTGCAAACTACTCATCCAACAGGGGATTAATATCCAGAATATACATGCAACGGAAATGTCGCAACAGCAGAAACCATCCAACTTAAAAATGGGCAAATGACAGGAACAGACGTTTCTCAAAAGACATACAAAATGCCAGCAGGCATCACTAATCATCAGGGAAATGCAAATCAAAGCCACAGTGAGGTATCAGCTCACCCCAGTTAGGGTGTCTGTTATCAGAAAGATAAAAAATAACAAAGGCTAGTGAGGATGAGTAAAGGAAACTCTTCCACACTGTTGGTGGGAACATAAACCCCTACAGCCACTATGGAAAACAGTATGGACATCCCTCCACAAACTACAAATCAATCTGTTTAATACCATATGGTCCAGCAATCCCACCACTGGGAATTTGTCCAAAGGAAAGGAAATCAGCCTATGGAAAGGGATGTCTGCACTCCCATGTTCATCGCAGCACTGGTGACAATAGCAAGGATATGGAATCAGCTCAGGTGTCCAACAACAGAGGGATGGATAAAGAAAATGTGGTATACATGCACCATGGAATACTATTCAGCCATTAAAAAGAATGAAATCCTGTCACTGGCAGCAACATGGATGGAACTGGAGGACATTGTGTTATATGCAATAAGCCGGGCACAGAAAATCAAACACCATATGTCCCACTCATATGTGGAAGGTAAAAAAAGTTGATCTTGGCCAGGTGTGGTGGCTCATGCCTGTAATCCCAGCACTTTGGGAGGCTGAGGTGGGCAGATCATGAGGTCAGAAGTTTGAGACCAGCCTAGCCAACATAGTAAAACCCATCTTTACTAAAAATACAAAAATCAGCCAGGCATGGTGGCGCATGCCTGTAATCCCAGCCACTTGGGAGGCTGAGGCAGGAGAATTGCTTGAAATCAGGAGGCAGAGGTTGCAGTGAGCTGAGATTTCACCACTGCATTCCAGCCTAGGTGACAGAGTGAGACTCCATCTCAAAAAAAAAAAAAAAAGTTGATCTCACAGAAGTGAAAAGTAAAACAGAGGATACTGGAGACTGGGAAGGGTGAGGGAAGGGAGAAATAGGGAGTTTTTTGTTTTTTTGTGTGTGTTTTTTTTTTGAGACAGAGTCTTACTCTGTCACCCAGGCTGGAGTAGAATGGCGTGATCGTGGCTCACTGTAACCTCTGCCTCCTAGGTCCAAGCGAGTCTCCTGCCTCAGCCTCCTGAGTAGCTGGGATTACAGGTGTGTGCCACTATGCCCAGCTAATTTTTTTGTACTTTTAGTAGAAATGGGTTTCACCACATTGGCCAGGCTGGTCTTGAACTTCTGACCTCAAGTGATCCACCCGCCTTGGCTTCCCAAAGTGCTGGGATTACAGGCGTGAACCACTGTGCCTGGCCAGGAGAGATGTGTTAAGGATATAAAATAAGATGCAGGAGGAATAAGTTCCAGTGTTCTATGGCACTGTAGGATGACTAGAGTTAACCTAATACATAGTTTCAAATAGGTCGGAAGATATTGCATTTTCTCAACACAGATAAATGAGCAATGTTTGAGATGACGGTATGCTAATTATTATTCTGCTCTGATCACCATGTATTCCATGTATCAAAATATCACTATGTATCTCATGAATATGCATAATTGTTATTTGTCTATTTAGAAAAATTAGGAAAAGAGAGAAAAAAAAGCAGAACAAGAATCCATACCCACCCTCTATTGTACAAGGGAAAGCTGAGATTTAGAAAGGGGAGGGGGCTTGCCCCATGCTCCAGGGTGTCAGTGCCCAGCTGGGCCAGCACTCTTTCTGCTCCCTGCCCACCTGCTCAGCAAGGAGCTCCCAGGGTCCCCAGGGGACATACCCCTCTCTGCCTGTTCCCTGGGGCGGAGTTCGTTCCTCCCCACCTTCCTCCCAAGTCTGTGGGTTTGTTGCCGGAGACAGTCTTCCCCAGGCAGCAGGGGGCGTGGGTAGGAAGAACTACCCAGGCACTGCCACCACCTGCCCACCTGGCCCAAGCTGCCCCTCCCCGGGCAGGCGAGACCCCCACCTGGATCTGCTCCATGCAGTGCTGAGGGGACTCAGCTGACACGCACTGGATCTCCGGCCTGAGCTGCCGCCGGCTGAAGGCCACAGCCATGTCTCCACATTTCTGGATCTCGGGAGTGGAGAGCACACACCAGCGCAGGTAGAGAGGCAGCCCTGGTGTGCGGCAAGCCAGCGGTCACTGCCAGGCCACGACCGCCAGGGAAGAGCTTGGAGTCAGACCCAAGGGAAATTCTGGGCCTTTCTCCTGTCAGCTGTGTGGCTGGGATAATTTATTTAACCATCCGATCCTGCTTCCTCATACAGAAAAGGGGCAACTGTACCTCTTACACCAGGCTGTGAGGCCTGAGGAAGACCATGGCTGTCATGGATCTAACTCAGTGTCTGGCACCCATTTCCCTGGCTACAGGTGGAAGATACATGGGATGCGGGCTAAAGGCAAGCAGCTGACTTGGAGACTATTGCAATAGTCCAGGCAGAAGACAATGCCTGAGCCAGGGCTGTAGCCATGGGGTGGAGACGGGGAGTAGCCGTGAGAGGTTGAAGAACTGACAGGACACCCTGGCTCCTGGACAGAGGGGCGGGGAGACCCTTCTCAAGACAGATTCTGATGGCCTGGATCCCGCATGGATCCCACCCCGCTGCGGCCTGGTGGGGCTTCTGAAACAGGCCATGCAGCTAAAGAGATGCTTCTTCCCCAAAGCCCCAGAGGCAGGCAGATGGAGACGACAGGTTCCCGCAGAGGCTGAGAGGCACATCCCAGGCCTCCCTGGTGACCATCTTCCCCCAGCCACTTTCCCAGGGAGCCTCGCCATGCCCACGGTCACGCTGGGCTGGAGCTGGCAGCAGCCAGGACAGCTGGACTTACGGTTGGGGTCACAGAGCAGACCCTTCATGGCGTGCAGGTACTCGTGGCCCAGCCACGCCTCGTAGGTCTGCGTGGCGATGGGCACAAGCTCGGAGGTGGAGTCCTTGAACAGCAGATTCTTCTGGCCGTAGGCCTCAGAGCTGAACATCTGGAAGCTGCTGTCCTCGTGGCTGAACAGACGCTGTGTGTCAAGGGGTGGGTTACAGGGTGGTGAGGGTGCTGACAGGCCACATCCTTTCCTCCCATTTCAGCCACCACCTCCTTTTCCCTGACCTCAGACCAGGTGCCCACTCTGAGGGCCAGGGGAGGCTTCCCTCCGTCTTCTGCAGCACCTCCCCCGATCCGCCGTCCCCTTCCCCTGGGCCTGCCAGCTCTGGGTCTGTGCTGAGTTCATTCGGCATCATCACATTCAGCTGTTTGGACACTTGACTGTGGCCAAGGGTGGGAGGGTCCTGAGGACACGCCATGGGGCTGGCAATAGCGGCCTGGGTGGGGCAAGACTGAGCCCGGGGCAGCAGCAATCAGGAACATATGGCTGTCATAAGCAGTGGTTTTAGCAAAACCTTATTCACCACATTTAGTTAACGGTGTGCTCTGAAAGGCACTGGTTTTGTCACTTTTGCTCATATGTTCTTGTTTTGGCTTTTAGAGACGCAAGTACCAGGAGCTTCCTCTGAGGGTGCCGAAGTCTCTGGGTCCCCCTCTCGTGGCCAGCCCTCCTCCCGGTCAGCCAGAGCAGTGGGTTCCTTACTCTGACCTGACCCGAGGCTGGGGTCCATCCCAAGGACAGTCTCTGGGTCCTGCCCCTCCTGGTCCCACCCTGGTGAGCAGCCACAAGGCCCAGCACCACGCGGGAAGCTGTGCGGGGACCAGGGGACCCTCAGCCCACCTGGCCTTCATTGAGCAGCCGGAAGATGAGGCCCCCATCTGTGTCAGCCCGGACCACCACGGCGTGAGCAGGCACCCGGGCCAGGTGGCACTGCCTCCACTCAGTGACATCGGCCCAGCTGCCATCCCGGCACAGCAGCTTGAAGTCCTGTGACAGCAGGGCCTGGCCCCAGGAGGGCAGCGTCTTCCCTGGGAAGAAGGAAGCCTGGGCTGAGCCAGCTCCTAAAGGGGTTGTGGTGGGTGGCAGGGAAGGCCCAGGAGAAGAATTCTGGGGGATGGCTGGGTGTCGTGGACATGAGAACCCAGCGCTCAGAAGGTGGCAGAGCTTAGTGGCTGCACCTAACTCCAGGTATCTATGCAGAATATCTCGTTCCTCCCATTTTTTAGCTCTCACCAATTTCTGTTGCTAAAATGTACTGGAGGTATCTGACAGTAATACAATACTTAGAAATAGGACTACCTATTAAAGATAAAAGGGGTAAGAAAATAAGAAAGGCTTTGGATGAGAGAGACAAATGTGCCAAGCGTCTAGGATGGCTCAAGGCTGCCATGAGGCACTACACTTGGCTCTGAGCAGTGGTGACGGGTCCGGGCTCAGGGAGCAGCGGCCGTGGTGGAAACACACCCCGACAGAAGCGGAACTCCTTAACTCCAACTATTCATATTTCGATGGATTTCTTTCAAGTCCTTTTTCTATTTTATTTCCTGTCTTTTGACCACTTTTAACCTGGCTAAGGACATCGTTGACCCGCAATTCTCATCCTACTTGGTAGAGAATTTTTCCACAGTATTGGAAACTTTCCATAAACTCACTTATTTCTCAACAGAAAAGAAAATTTAAAAGAGTAACTATTAACACCAAATGGGGATACTGAGAAGATGAATATTAAGGACTATAATTAAACCACAGATGGTCCTACATAACAAGATTTTTATGACTTTAAATTAAGACAAGGAGGAAAAAACCTCTACAAGGAAATAGGCAGAAAAAAAAAGATAATTTGTATCGTCATGAAAGCTTTCGCTGTGAAGCTATTATCAAACAAAACCTAAAACCCACAACAGAGTAATAGTCTGGAAAAACTCCATAAAGGTTATTTTTAATGGCCACATGGTAGTTTACAGCACTCTTAATTATTCAGTGCAACTCTCCCCACGCTTCCCAATTTTCCTCTGTTTTTAGGCTGCTGCAAAACCTTTGGTTAGATCTCTGGGGTATCATTTGCCTTCACACAGACAAATGCATCATTTAGGTACTTCCATCAGCCACTCCCACTTCTCATCAGCCAAGAACAATGACAGTCACTTATGCCAATTCTACTCCTTTGCTCTTATCAATCTTTTTGTATAAAGTTGATTAAAAATTACTTCCTTAGATTTCCTTAGATTACCATAAAAACTTTGAGGCCTGGAGCAGTGGCTCACCTGACAGGACACCATGGCTCCCAGCACTTTGGGAGGCCAAGGTGGGCAGATCATGAGGTCAGAAGTTCAAGACCAGCCTGACCAACATAGTGAAACCCTGTTTCTACTAAAAAAACAAAAACAAAAACAAACAAACAAAAAAACCCCAACAACAAAATAGCCAGGCGTGGTGGCGGGCGCCTGTAGTCTCAGCTACTTGGGAGGCTAAGGCAGGAGAATCGCTTGAACCCGGGAGGCGGAGGTTTCAGTGAGCCGAGATCGTGCCACTGCACTCCAGCTTGGGCGACACAGCAAGACTCTATCTGAAAAAAAATAATAATAAAAGGCTGGGTACAGTGGCTCACACCTGTAATCCCAGCACTTTGGAAGCCTGAGATGGGTAGATCACGAGGTCAAGAGATCAATACCATCCTGGCCAATATGGTGAAACCCCATCTCTACTAAAAATACAAAAATTAGCTGGACATGGTGATGCACACCTGTAGTACCAGCTACTCGGGAGGCTGAGGCAGGAGAATCACTTGAACCTGGGAGGTGGAGGTTGCAGTGAGCCGAGATAGCACCACTGCACTCCAGCCTCGTGACAGAGCAAGACTCTATCTCATTAAAAAACAAACAAACAAACAAACAAACAAAACTTTGAAAAAGCTTCCAGATGCATGCCTGTAATCCCAGCTACTCAGGAGGCTGAGATGCAAGGATCAATTGAGGCAGGGGGTTTGAGACCAGCCTGGGCAACAAAGTGAGAGCCCATCTTAAAAAAACCCCAAGTTTGAAAAAGCTGATTTATATCCCTACTCTTTGCCCATCTTCCAAATTCTCCTTTGTCTGACTCATCTTGGGGCCTGTGAACAGGGGCCCCTTTTCATAGGACCGCCCAGCACCGGCACACATCATCCTGCATGCTCGGTGTGTGCAGGTGACTTGTTTTCCTCCTTCTCAGATCTGGCCCATGTTTGCCTTCATGATGGACCACGTGATGGACTTTCTGATTTAAAAGGCAATGATTAATAACAGCGAAAAATGACAATGACTTATTTTTTTTTAAGCCAATCCTCAGACATTCTGGCAGAGGCAAAACTACAGACAGAACAGTCCGTTTGCTGCCCGCTGGCAGGTGGCAGGGGTATAAGGAACAGGGGTCTGAGGAACTTCTGGGCTGAAGGGTCTGCAAGATCTCGATCATGATGGTGGTTATACAACCGTATGTATTTGGCAAAACTCATAGAACTATACTTCAAAAGGAACAAATTTTGCTGCATGTAAATTATATCTCAATTTAAAAAAAGAAACAATCTTCAGGCAAATCTAAATTGAGGGACATTCTATAAAATAACTGGCCTGTTGCTTCAAAATGCCAATGTCATAAAAAACAAAGACTGAGAAATTGTTCCAAGATAAAGGAGACTCAAGAGATCTAACATCGGAAGCCATGTGTGATGAGAGTGTAGGTTCTGGTCAGAAAAAAAGGGTATGGAGGACAGAACTGGGACAGTTAGTGAATCTGCAATATCGACTGTAGATTAGATAACAGGATTGTATCAAAGTTGCATCTCCTAATTTTGATTACGGTGGCTAGGTATACATCTCCTTGTCATAGGAGATACATACTGAAGTATTCAAGGGGTATGACATCGGCAGATGTGCTCTCAGATGGGTCAGAACACACACACATACATACGCACATACATCGAATGTAGAAAAACGCTAATTAGTTAGAATTTGATGAAGAATAGATGGGAGTTCTTTGAATTCTTCTTGTAACTTTTCCAAAACTCAATTCTTTCAAAATTAAAAAAACTTAAATGACAATGATATGGCTCAATATATAACACCAACCTATATCTGCAGCCAGACCTTCTCAGGGATGAGGGACTGATTCTCCAGGCAAGGGCAGAAAAATGCCAGGAAGGGCTAGTAGGGGAGATCCAGTGCAAAGGTTTGCAAAGTCTTTAAAAAATCAGGCCCCCGTCTTCAGAGAGAAACCGAAGCCAATGCCATATTCAAATCAGCAGAGCAGAGCTGCCCGCTGGGCCCCCTCTCCGGCCCTGTCAGCAGTGGGCAGTCCATTGTCCATTGGTGAGACTGGCCTCTGCTCTTTGGCAGCCGGGAGTGCTGAGGTTCAGAGACAGTGGAACTTGTCCACGGTCACCCAGAGACTCAGAGCAGCACTGAACTAGGGCGTTTGATCCCAACTCTGCCATCTAGGGGTCCTGCCCCAGGCGGGCCTGGCCTGACACCCTGTCCTTCGGCCCATGCCTCTCCCTGCCCCACTCACCGTCAGTGTTCTCCAGCACCGTGCTGTGCTTCACAAATGCCACGTCCCCCGCCCCTTCTGCCAGGCACCTGCGGAGGAGAAGCTGTGAGCCTGGATGGGTCTGAGCCCCTGGCCCCTGCCCGTCTTCCACCTCTGGAGGCCTGGCTTGGGCAGTAAGGGGTGGCCATGGTGGGCATGGGTTTTCCAGTCATTCGGTCTGGGTTCCAGCTCCCTGGCTGGTTGGCTGTGTGGCTTTGTCAAATTGTGGCCCCTTCCTAGCCCCTATCACCTGTAAGGTGGGGGTGGGAAAGCAGCTCCCACAGGGCTGCCTGAGGATGAGACGTTCTTTATAACCCAGTAGAGACCCTCTACAGCCTAGCTCAGGCCTGTATGGAGCAGGTACTCCCATGGCAGCTGCTATCATATCAGCAGCCTTGACTCTCAGGGGTTGGTTTCATATGTGCTTGTTTTCATTGTTTTGTTTTTAGAGATAGGGTCTCACTGTGTTGCCCAGGCTGGAGTGCAGTGGCGAAATCACAGCTCACTGCAGCTTTGACCTCTTGGGCTCAAGTGATCATCCTGCCTCTGCCTCCAAAGTAGGTGGGACGACAGGTGTGTACCACCATGCTGGGCTAATTTTCAGGGTGTTTTGAAGCGCATTCTGCTCTGAGGCCGGGGATTGGACTAGAAGGCCTTTTCATGCCATACCACAGAATCCTGAGTGGGAAAGACCATTGACTTTTACGTGCTGTCTTGATGTCACTGCCCAGTGTTGGAGGCAGGTTGGCTCTGGGCAAAGGGGCTGCTTGGGTCCCCACGCACTGAAAATGTGCAGGGATTAGAGCAGGTCAGGGAGGGGTGACATCAGGAGAGGGCTCTGAGGCTCCAGGAGAGTCAGAGATAAGGGGTGCATGCCAAGGGCATGGGGCAGTGGAGGGGCAAGGGTCTTCTGCTCAGAGGTGCTGAGGACTGTTTATCTCTCTAAGCCAAACACTGCATCCACTCAGATCACATCTGGAGCATGGGGCGCCAGCAGGCTTCCCCGCTGCAGGTGGGAATGTGAGGTAGCTAAAGGACCCGGGATGCTTCCTTTCCAGTCCTGGGGAGCACGTTTCCTCCTCTGCAGGAATTGGACCACAAGCTGGTAGAGACTCCCTTCTGTATCCACGAAAGGATTACCCAAAGTGCCAGCCTCAACCAGTGGCAGAGACAGCCCGTCCCCAAGTGTCAAGACACACTCCCCCACCCCCTCTCCCTGCTGGTCTGAGAATGGGGACGTGGGAGTGGCCAAAAGGCCGTTTTTTCCATTTTCTTCTCTCTGAGCCCTCACTTCACTAAATATACCAAACATGTTGATTTTATGAGCAAATCCAGTTTGGCATATTCCAGCTGGATGTTTTTAAACTAACCAGGGCACAGAACTATATAAAGGGTGCTTTGATGAGACGCAGCCAACCCCGCCACTTCCCCCTCCGCGGCCCTCTCTGGGCAAAGGTGTTTTTCCCCAGCATCTGTGGCCTGAAGCGCCTCCGCCTGCGGGACTCAGTTCCTCCCTGCCCGTCGCCCCTCCCTGCCCCCGACTTTCACTCACCGGAAGGCCCCGCTATAGTCATAGTATCGCTCCAGGGGGCTCTTGTCACACACACCTTCCCCAGAGCTGTCTCCCCTGCAGAGGCGACACAGGGACTCAGAGTAACCGGTCTCTCCTGCCCCAGGGACGCAGCTGCCCCCAAAGTAGTTGCTGACAGCTGTGGGAAGGAGGTAGAGAGATCACTTAGCAGAACTTTCTTCAGAGCAAGCCAAGCTCCCAGGGTAAGCAGGGGGCCCGGGCCCTGCAGGGTCTCATCTGGACTCTGCTGAGAACGGTTCCATTTTCTAGCTTCGGTTTGAGCAAAACTGGGGAGCTGGACCCCACCGGTAACTCCCGAAGCAGGTCCACCAAGGCAGCGGTGAGCACTAGAGAGTGTTACTTACAAGTGGCTTGGAGGAATAAAAAATTACTCATAAACGACCACTCAGGGTAACTAAGTAACAGCTAGATGCTCTCCTTATCATAGACTTCACTTCCAAATCAGCAAAGTGTGATTAATGACAGGGGGGAGGCTGGGCATGGTGGCTCACGCCTATAATTCCAGCACTTTGGGAGGCCAAGGCAGGTGGATCACCTGAGGGCGGGAGTTCAAGACTGGCCTAGCCGTCTCTACTAAAAATACAAAAATCAGCCAGGTGTGGTGGTGCACCCCTGTAATCCCAGCTACTTGGGAGGCTGAGGCAGGAGAATAGCTTGAACCCAGGAGGCAGAGGTTGCAGTGAGCCAAGATCATGCCATTGCATTCCAGCCTGAGTGACAGAGTTAGACTCTGTCTCAAAAAAAAACAAAAAAAAGAGGGGAAATAAAGAATTACTGAAGGAGGATCATTCATTGAGAGACAACACTTCTTCCGGCACACGGAAGGAGGCAAACGCAGCGGTGGCTGGCCTCATAGGGAACGAGGTCAGGGTCCGCTGTCCTGCAGGGTTCTTCAGGCCCTGCCGGCACCAAAACTCACAAGTATTTATCCTGTGCTGTGCCAGGAGGCCCTCCGGCCGGCATCTGAGTCAGCTGGGCCACGCTCCTCACCAGCCAGACTGAGCTTTTCCGGGGTAAGCCCTCTTCCTGGTCTTTTTGTGTCCTCCCAGAGTGGATATTTAATAAATATGCCAAGGGACTGACGAGCCACCCACACCTGGCCACCAGCTGAGAGGGTGAGGCTTCCACCCTCTTGGGGGTGGTGTGGGTTTACACGGCTGGTTGGGCTGATGAGCCACTTGGGAGCTTTCTGGGTGCAATTCAGTGCCTTGCTTGGGTCCTGAAAAAACAGCCTTTCTGGTCCTGTAAAGCTGAGGACACGCTTCTAGACACAGTGGCCTGTGCTGCTTGATGCTGGTGGAAGGCACCTTGGAGGCTCACTGCCTCCCATTCATGGGTTGGGCCTGTGCCTGGCTATGTCGAGCAGGACACCACGATGGATGAGCAATAATTGTGCCCCACGGGGGCCAAGCAAGCAGGAAGTCAAGTGGTGGTGCACAGGGTTGGCGGCAGAGTGGCAGAGTGGGGCGGCCCGGAGGAGGCGGGGTGGCTGTGCCTTCCAGGGATGAAGGATGCGGTGAGGGCAGAGCGAGGCTACCCAGTGAAGGGACAAGCATGGGCCGAGGAAACGAGAGGGGAGGCCTGGGGACCCTCCTGTCCAGCCCAAAGCCCTCACCTTTGAGTACGTCGCAGCCCATCACTGAAAGGCGGCCACTCTCCACCAGGTAGCCCACGGGCACGTTCCAGCCCACTGTCCGATTGATGCCTGTGTGGCAGGACTTCACGCCTTTCAGAGTGTCGATGGTCACATGGGAGCTCCTCTTGACCACAGCCACGGCGTAATAGGAGGTACCAACCTCTAGGAGGGGAGGGGAGCCAGTGAGGGCAGCAGGGAGAAGCCTCAGGGAGGCTGCACCAGCACCCTGCCCGGGACAGCTGTGGGAGAGTGTGCATGGAGCATGGGCGTGCACGTGGACGTACGCATAGCGCTCTAGTCACAAGAGAGCAAGTGGGCTTAATCCACAGGTATGCGAGACCCTGCCCTTCAGCCTCTTGAGGTAGATACAGTCCTGAGATGCTGAGGTATTCATTGATTCCCACTTTCCTTCTCAAGCAGCTGGTGCTTAGCTGGGTCCACATTTGCTCACATCGGGGGAGTTCTTTAGCTGGACAGAAGGCAGAAGAAGCCAGCAAGTCTTCGCTTTCCAAAAGCCTAGGCCCCCAGAACTTGGAGAGTTTGAGGGAACGGTGTCGGGGTCATGGGAAGAAGAGTGGCTGGGAGGAGCAGGGGAGGGGCTTCCCCGATTAGGAGAGGCAATTTCCTGGTGCCGAGGGGGTTGGAGGAGAGTGAGACGGAGGCAGAGACAGAGAGACAGAGAACTAGCCATGTGGTCCCCAGTCACTGATGACCCTGAATGGCTGCAGGGTGCGTGTGGTGGGGCAGGGCTGTGCAGCCTTGCAAAACATTCCGCTGCGCCAAGGTGGTTCCAAGGGGCCATTCAGGCAAAACACAGACGACTCAGTTATGGTAACTGATGACCAGAGGGCCTCCCATCACATGAGCGCGCACACACACATGCATGCACACCGCACAAACTGCCCCGTGGTGTGGGAGGCCATGATCAGAATGCAGTTGAGTTCCAGAACATAAAGCCAGTGTTGGGCCGGGCACGGTGGCTCAAGCCTGTAATCCCAGCACTTTGGGAGGCTGCGGCGGGTGGATCACGAGGTCAAGAAATCGAGACCATCCTGGTCAACATGGTGAAACCCCGTCTCTACTAAAAATAAAAAAAGTCAGCTGGGCATGGTGGCGCGTGCCTGTAATCCCAGCTACTCAGGAGGCTGAGGCAGGAGAATTGCCTGAACCCAGGAGGCGGAGGTTGCGGTGAGCCGAGATCGCGCCATTGCACTCCAGCCTGGGTAACAAGGGCGAAACTCCGTCTCAAAAAAAAAAAAAAAAAAAAGCCAGTGTTACTTCTTGTCCACCAGGGTCTGGCTCCAGCCAACCTAAGCAACTTTGTCTGGTACCAACCTCTGACTCACCCACCCTCTGTTTCTTTCCAATTCCTTGAATTGCCTGAGATGGTTGCCGAGCTCAGCTTACCCGTCACCTCCCCAGAGCACCGTCCTGCCTGCTCTATTTCCGGGGGTTTTCCTGCAGCCTGCGTTTTCTGTCCTGCCGTTTCCTTGTCCTCACAGCACCCACCACACGCTTCACTGTCTCGTTTTGGTTTGTTTACTCTGCTGTGTGAGGGCAGGAAGGAGGTCTCTGTTTACTGCTCCGTGGTCCTGAGCAGCGGGCAGCAGGTGCTCAGTACAAGGTGTGGAGTTAATGAAAGAGGAAGAGCTGCATGCGGCCGGGAGGCAGGGCTGTTTCGGGCTGACTGGTATGCAGGATTGGACTGTGCCATGTGGCATTTGACAATCACGAATTCAACAAGGAACCAGCCAGTGCCTTCTCCAAGCGAGATGCTGTGTGGAGTTGCAGAGGGTAGACACGGGAGAACTGGCCCTCCTCAGGGGACTAACGTGACTGAGCAGGCAGAGGCTTGCCGAGGCCATGGGGGTACAGGAAAGAGAGGTTCTGCTCAAGGGTGGGAGGGGCTCAGGGAGCACCTCGGAGGAGGTGACGGTTGCGCCGGCCAAGCAGAGGTGGTGGGGGAGACACAGGAGCAGGCTGAGCTGGGGGCAGGTCCTGTGTGTGACGCGGGGACTGGGCAAAGGAACTCACACTTGCTAGCATCTACCACATGTCAGGTGGGCACACGGCCTGGCTCATTTAATCCGTGTGTCAGGGCAGCTGTTATTATCCCCATTTTACAGCCCGGGAAATGAGGTTGTCCAGGGTGACAGAAGTCATGGGAAGGGGAAGCCCTGGGTCTGCTGCGCTGTGCAGTTCCCAGGCAGCACCTCCCGACCCGGAGCCGTGCTTCCGACATGGAGGCCCTAAGCATGCAGGTGGCCCGGCCTCAAGGACACCTTGTCCACCTGAGGCAGTTACGTGAACAGCACCAGGCCTAGCGCTGCACCAGGCACAGGGGAGCCCTCAGTAAGAACAGGGAGTCTAGCAAAGGCTGGGGGGCAAAGGCCGGGGGGGGCTGCTGGGCTCCCTGAGGGGAGAGCAGACTCGGGCCAGCTCTCCACGTCCCGGGAGCTCCTCCTGTCCCTGGGGAATCTGAGAGGGACTTAGGGCGCCCTCAGGGCATTCGTCTGGCTGGGACTCCGAGACTGCTGTGTGGACAGGGCTGATGACCAGCTCAGGGCAGCAGGGTCAGGCCTGGACCAGCAAGGGCAGCCTGCCTCCGTCCGCCCCCTGCACCCTCCTACCCTGATCGTACACTTCGCCCGCCACGGGCTTCAGGCCATGCTCCTTTCCCGCCTCATAGATGGCTCCTCCATCCAGAGTGATGGCGTCAGCCTCCTGGGCCTGCAAGGAAATGTGGCTCAGCCAAACCTGTCCCAGCCAGCACACTCAGCAGGGAACTCGGGACACCTACCAGATGGCCTAGGGCCCCACCCCGAGCCCCGAGGGCTGTGCTGTCCTTCTCTTCTGGCCCAGGAGCCCAAGCAGGGCCCAGGGCTCTCCCTGCTTCCCAGGCCAAGGATTCACCTTGCTTTCCTAGTAATGTTATTTAAAAAATATTAATCATGGACTTTGCGGGGCTCAGATATCATATTAAAAAAATCAAATAGTAGAAAACAGCACGCAGTGAAATGTGTCTCCCTCGATTTCTCTCCCCCTCCCCCCTGCCTCTACTGCTACCCTGGGTTTTCTAGCTTTTTTCCTCTAAGATGGTCTATGCGTGGGGTTTCCGCCCACACACGGTGGTGCCTGCCCCACAGCCTTGGCCCTGTGTGGGCCTATGACTGGATCAGGTCTTGGGGGCATAGTGGGGGCAGAGCTGGAATGAAAAACCAGCTTTCTGTGCGCCTGCCCCAAGGCCCGCCCCTCTTTTGTGGTGCCTCTGAAGATTGCCAGTGTCATTTAGCAGGTCTCCTGCTTCTCAGAGCTGCTTTCCTACCCCGTACTCACCCACCTGGGAGTCCAGCCCCTGCTCCTCCTTCCCCAGAAACCACACAAGCCCCCTCTGGAGAGCCCCATGGCAAAGTGAGCAAGTAGCCGCCTGGGGCCACTGAGGGGTCACTACCATCTGGGGGCCCCTTGGCAGGGGCCTCATGGAAGAGAAGCCTCTCAGACCCCTTTCCTTGCTGGCGCCCCTCTGAGCAGCAGCACTCCCAAGGCTCCCACCTCCTGGGCCCGGCCGAGACAAGCTGGCCTTGTTGCTGGGGAGACTTGGGAGGTCCTACTGGCTGGGCCTGGCAGGGCGAGGTTGGCCCTTCCCCGGTGAATGAGGCCGTTATGTGCTCCCTCCTGAGTCAGAGCCCTTTTGTCTGGCAGGGCGGAAGGGAGAGGACTCACCGCGATGAGCTGGATGCAGTGGTTGGCTGAGGTGCCCTGGACGCAGAGGAGGGAGGGCTGGATGCCCGCTTCCCTGAAGGCCTTGCTCATGTCGCTGCACTTCTGCTGCTCTGGGTTCGAGATAGTGCACCACCGCACCTCCATGCCACCGAGCACTGCGGGCAGGGGACTGTGAGGCCTGGCTCCCCCACCAGGCCCAGCCCTGGCCCACCATGGAGGGTGGCTCCAGCAGCTCTGTGTGGGCCCATCGGCCTGGAGAGCCAGTCCTCTAAAGCAGCCTGCCCTCCCACAGGGAGGCACCAGGCACCGACACTGGGAAACGGCTGGTATTCCTGTGCTCAGGGCCTCTCTGACCAGGGGCATGGCTGCTGGCAAATGGAATGGCTCAGAACCAGGCCGTTTACAGAGGAGCGGGAGGGTCTACAGGTTGCTTCTCAGCTTCCCCCACCTGGCGGGAGCACTGGCTGGGGAGCCTCGGCAGGCTCCGGAAATGGAAGCTCCTTCCCCTCTCCAGGCCTCCCAGAGAGGGCGCCCATGTGGGTTCCGTCACAGAGCAGTGTCCCTGGGCCTTCCTCATGAACTGGGTCATGAAAATGAGGTGAGGGGGCTGTGGGTGGGCTACTCTCCACGAGCCCTGCACCCTCAGGGAGCATCTGCGATTGTGCTGGCTGCAAACCCACCTTTGGAGGGCACAGTGCCAGGCCCTGCCAAGGGAAGACAGCAGACAGAGGGGAGGCTGAGGAACCATCAGGGTGGGTTCAAGTTCCTGCCCTCTAGCTGGTAACTTCAGGTAACTTATTTGCCTCTCTGAGCCTGCTTCATCTTCTGAGAAAGCAGATAAACCCACCCTCTGTGTTGAAAGTGAACCCATGTAGAGAGCCCGAGACACACAGAGCCTCAGTGGGGTTTTGCTTGTGCCTCAGGAGCTGAGCGGGTCAGAGTCCCCGAGAGCTCCCAGGCTAGGGGCCCAGGGGAAGGGGTGTGAGTCCCTTGGGGTTGATGACTTTCAGGCCTGAGCTCCTCTGCCATTCACCCTGTCCCAGCCAGCACTGCCAGAGGCCTGTGCTGGAGAGAAACGGATGACTCCCCACTCCCGGAAACCAGGTCACCCCCTCCTCTCCCCACTCTCAGCGGCACCCTAGAAAGTCGAACTGCCCCCCACTCCCCAGCGCTCCAAGGCCCCTACCACCCATGCGGGAAACTGCAAAGTTCAGTGGCTTCACTGTTTGCATTGATGAGTGTGTCGCCAGCCACATCGGTGCTGTGACCTCCATCCCCTCAGCGGACGCCGCCCGCGATCCCTGCGAGCCTCTCCCCGAGGTCCCGTCTCCCGTCCCACCATCCTGGGCCCCCACTCCCCGGGGCACCGACACGAAGGGACCCAGCCTCCGTCCCACCTCCATCCGGCAAATGCAAGCCCTCCCAGGCAGTCTCCCGCGCCCCTCCTGGTCAGTCCCTCTGAATCGTCTCCTGCAGGGACTCGGGAGAAACAGCTGCTTTGGCCCCGCAAAGTCTCCCTGGGTGCCCGCGACCGTCAGGAGGCGCCGCCCTCTGGGACCTCCTCTCCACTCTCCAAGGCCTCCCCACCACGTCCCAGACCGCGCTTTTCCTTGGCGCGTCCGAAGCCTCACGTTTTCCAGGCCCGGTTCAAGGCCGCCTCCTCCAAGAAGCCTTCCAGACCTCCCCGTCTGCCCGTCAGTGCTAGTTCCCTCCTCACTCGACCCCGAGCCCCGGCATCCCCTATCTCACGCCCCAGGGGCCTCGGCTCAGGCACATTTCCAGCCCCGCGACCTGCTCCCCCCGGCTGCAGAGCCCAGGACTCTGTGCACCCCGGGCTCTCCCAGCGGGGCCTCACCGGTGCGCAGAGCCACGAGCAGCCACAGGGCCGCGGTCGGGCCCCGCATGGCGCCGTCGGGGCTGGCTGGGGCCGGGCTGGGTCCAGGTCCGAGGAAGTCGGCAGCGGCCCGGCTTCCTCCCTGCTCCCTCCTCCCGCTGGTCGGAGCTCCTTAAGTGCGGCCGGGAGTGCCTGGGCGGAATCCACGCCCCTGGGGCGCAGGTCACCTCCCGCCGGCCCCGGACCCCACACCTGGGCTGACCCGACGCGCCTGGACCGGCCCTCTCGCGCCCCCTGCTGGAGCCCCGGCCTAACGCTCGGGCCCGGGCACAGCTGTTCGGAACTCTCCCCTCCCCTCCTCTTGTCCTAGAAGGCTCCAAATGCCATGTCTCACGGGAGAGAGAAAAGCTTAGATGTGGAAGGAAGAAGAGGTCGGAATCCCAGGCCCTGAACTGGAGGAGAGCTGGATGGACAGCTCATTCAAGCAGCAGTTCCCTCCCAACACACCTGCACACAGGAGCCCAGGCCAACCTGCCCTGGCTGGGGAGGAGCTGGGCGGGGGCGTCTCCGGCCAGCCGATGCCTCTCCTCGGGCCTAGAGAAGGGAGGTGACTTGCCCGAGTCAGGTACCCAGTCAATGGAAGAGCCAGCTGACTCCACCCTGCTTTGGAAGGCGAGAAGAGGACCAGAGAGCAACTGGAGGAAGCAGAAAAGGAGAAAGAGGCAGAGACAGGGAGGAAGAGAGTGAAGGAGGTGAGGGAGGAAAAGGTGGGTTGACCGTATTTCTAGGACAGTGGTTCTCAAAGTGCGGTCCCTGGCCGGGCGCGGTGGCTCAAGCCTGTAATCCCAGCACTTTGGGAGGCCGAGGCGGGTGGATCACGAGGTCGAGAGATCGAGACCATCCTGGTCAACATGGTGAAACCCCGTCTCTACTAAAAATACAAAAAATTAGCTGGGCATGGTGGCGCGTGCCTGTAATCCCAGCTACTCAGGAGGCTGAGGCAGGAGAATTGCCCGAACCCAGGAGGCGGAGGTTGCGGTGAGCCGAGATCGCGCCATTGCACTCCAGCCTGGGTAACAAGAGCGGAACTCCGTCTCAAAAAAAAAAAAAAAAAAAAAAAAAAGTGCGGTCCCTAGGCCAGCCACGTTAGCAGCACCCCGGAACTTGTTGGAAAAGCAAGTGCTCGGGCCCGACCCACTGAGTCAACAGCTCTGGGGGCGGGTCCCAAGATCTGTTTTTATTTTGGGGCACAGCAAATGTTGAGAACCCCGGTTCCAGGCAGACAAAAGCTGCACTCCTCGTGTGGTTGGGGATGTGGGGAATGCACTGAAGAAACTGTAGTCATCTGCCACCATTTAGGTCTCACCTTTTGTCCGAGCCCTTCGTGAGTGCTCAGAAATGACGGCTCTCTCTCTGACATAGGTAATTAAAACAGTGAGAAAGATCCCTCTGAGTCCGTCAGTCCTTGAGTTTGCTCTGTGCCCTGGGGAAGGAAGCCCTCCCTCCTACTGCGCCATGAAGCTACTGCTTATCGCACAGTGGATCGGGGTAGGAATATGGGCAACGATTTACTGACTGGGGGCAAGTTCCTTCCCCTCTCTGGGCTTATCAACCCCGTATGTAAAAGGTAGGTCATGACGGCTCTGACACGCCATACTGTTTCCTCTCCTGTCTGCTCTGGAGGACTCACGTGCTGTGGAAGCTGGGTCCACCCAGAAGCGGGGGTACTTCTTCCTAATTCGTACAAAGGTGCCAAAGGGACTAGCAGGTAGCCCTGCCAGAGGGGCTAACGGCTTGTCTAGAAGGTAGAATAAATAGAAGTTTTCTCAACAAGCCTCGCCCTCCTGACCACGAGGGTAGACTCATTTGGCACGCTCCAGGAGCCACCAGGTTACCGGCAGGATGTTTGTTGACTAAGTCCTTCCTCTGGCATCACTTCAAGTGATGTTGATAGGGAGTCAGGATGACCATAACCTAAGAAGTCTGGTGAGCTCTTTCACAATGAGGTTCTTCCCTTATCTCTTGGATATCATTCAACTGTGACTCATCAGTTAACTTGCTGTCGCTGGGTTCTAGGGACTTCTACGTTGGGTCCATTTGCCCAGTGTTAGCATGAACATGTATCACCTTTGTACAGTGGGGAACTCTGCCTCAGCTTGAGCCAGGATTCTGCCATTTCTGGTGTGCCAGAGAAATGGGTGGGACGTAATGGGAGCCTAATGAGCCAGCAATCGAATCCACAAACAGCCTTCTGGAGGAGCAGAAGCTGAGGTTACTTTGGTCCCCATTCTAGACTCATATTGAGGTTAGAGAGAGAGCATACAAACTAAAGGAACTGGTTTCACTGACACTTTGATAAGATTCTGGGGCCCAAGCAACTCTGCCTGGGACTCCCTGACCCTACCCCATACTGTGAAATACAAAGCACTCTTCTCCACTCTTGCCAAAGACACAGCTCTGGCTCTCCAACGATTCAGAAGCCTTGAGCTTGTCAGGGAGGTGAGGAACAGTAGATCCCATGGAGGGAATACACTACAGGCAGCCTCAGAGAGAGGCGGCCTTCGACAGGAGGCTGAGGAGGTCTGTCAGCAGGTATTGGCCAATGAGCCAGCAAAGGATGAACTCCTCTACCCAAAATCTTAGGAAAAAAATATTTTTTCCAAAAAATCATAATTGCTATTTGTCTATTTCTGTGGTCCACAATATCTTTGATTAAGATCAAGCCAAATAATTTTCATTCTGGGGAACTCTTGGAAGGGCTGGTGTGCCCGGAGAAAATTAGGATGTGAACATTTGCATTAGTGTGGCTTCAAAGGATATTACACTCTTGCTGACTGGTTAATAAATCTGAATTTGTATATTGAGAACAATGGCAGACATAGCGAGCAAATTTTAGAAATATAAGTGCTTCCCCCCCACCTTTACAGGAAAAGTATTTTTCCTATGAAGCTAGACTTAGGAGGAGTCCTGTTCATTTGGGCTACATGATGCTGTACATGCGGGATTTTCAAAGGCAGAGTCTATGTTTGATTGTTTCTGTGTTCAGCACAGGGCTTGAACATAAAGGAAGATTTCTAAGTGTGAACTATTATGTTTTAGGATGTTATTAACTATCATTGCTGGTGTCTGATGCTGCTGAGGCGAAGAATGATAAGAATCACAGGATTTGGGGACTATGGTGGCCCCAACGAGCTGTCTGAGCAGGTTTCAATGGCATGGCCAGGGCTGAGGCTTGGCCAGGAAACTGAACCTCAAGAGGGCAGGGATGGTGTCTTGTCTGCCATGGTTCCCAGTGTCTAGCATCAGGTCTGGAATACAGTAGGCATTCAACACATAATTATGGTATTATTATAAATGAAGGGAAGAGTGAACAGAGTATCTCAGGACATCTGGCTAAGAAAGGGAGAGGGGCTGTTTTCAGGGGACTCAACATCAAGGGTAAGTTTTTACAGAAGATATTTGATCAGAATGTGAAGAATAAGATCAAGACAGAGCGGGCAACCATGAAAGGAAAACAAACCATGCTTCTTCCCGGGGCTGGGAGAGGAGGAGGATGGGAAAGGCTTCAACTGGGCCTGCAATCAAGTGTAAGCCTCTCAATGCTGAGCTCAGTTTATTATCAAACCACAAAAGCTTTCTTTTCCTGAAAAACTTACTCGCAGTTCAGACTTTAATGTGTAGATGATTATAAAGACTCAAGGTGAACTTTGAAGATATAGTTTTAAAGCCATTAACACATCTCCATCAACTTCACTGAATATAAGAGTTAATCTGAGAAGAAACCAGTATAAAAGGACGCAAAGAGTGAAGAAGTAAAATCAAGAATACTATATTTGGCTTTGTCACTAAAGACTTCCAGAGAAATTATTTATACCACAGCTACTTCCAAGGAGGGCTTCAGCTGACTTATAAAGAAAACACATATGCACAAGGAAGATAAAAATCATAAAGCATGTTTGAGAAGGGAGAGTATTATACAGGAACCAGAAAAGAAAGACTATAATTGAACCAAAAAATTGGCTTAGAGATTTATAGTCAGATCTTTTTTCTTTGAGATGGAGTTTTGCTTTTGTCTTGGTGCGCAGGCTGGAGTGCAATGGCATGATCTCGGCTCACTGCAACCTCCCAGGTTCTTGCCTCAGCCTCTTGAGTAGCTGGGATTACGGGTGTGCACCACCACACTCAGCTGATTTTTGTGTTCTTAGTAGAGACAGGGTTTCACCATGTTGGCCAGGCTGGTCTTGAACTCCTGACCTCAGGTGATCCATCTGCCTCGGCCTCCCAAAGTGCTGGGATTACAGGTGTGAGCCACAGCGCCTGGCCTATAGTCAGACCTCTTTATCCTCTTCTCCATCCCCACATCTACCAATTTGCAAATGAAGTCACTGCCAACACTGAAAAGGCAGCTGTTTCCAGACCCTTAAAAAGTCACAGCAGTGACAACCATGCTACCGAGGCTGGCAGGTTCTGGAATAGAGAAGCTGTGCACCCTGATCTGCCGTGGGTACTTCACTGGGGAAAATAAATACAATAAGAAATGCCATCTAATCTTGAGACATCTAAAATGGTAAAAGCAGCACAGAAAGCACATTCTCAGCGTTAAGGGGACACCCAAGAAGTACTGGAGGAATACAGGCATCAAGGGCTGTAACTGGCCAGGTTTCTGCAGGTGAAGGGACTTAGGGTGGCTTTGAAGAAACTAGAGCTTTGATAAGGGGACTTGGGTGGGGAGGACACATTTGGGAGGTGGTGTTGGCAAAGGAGGCATTTGCATTGACAAACAGCCAAGACAAGCTCTGCAGAGGGTGTAAGTAAGAGGTATGGCCAGGGAGGTTAGTGTTGGCAGAGGACTTACTGATTACATGCTATATTCTAGGAACTATTTTACAGGTGAATTCATTCATTTGGATCTATGATAACATGAAGGTCACCGAAGAGAGGAAAAGACATGCTGCATTTTAGGAAAAGTCACCTGGTGGGTAGCTGGATCAGCAAGGAGCAGGTTAGAGGCTGGGAGATGATTTAAGAGGCCACTACAATAATACAGGTCAGGGGTGAGGAAGAACCTGGATTAGTGATGACAATGGAAATGAGAGTAAGAAAAAAATAATAGTGTTTGGTGATGATGGGATATTTAAGAAAGGGAAGTGTCAAAAGCCGTAAAGCTAAAGTTCAGGTGAC